AGAGAGAGAGAACGGAAGCAGTGTTTCTGGCAGCAGCTCTTCCACTGTGGTGCTCAGCCGTGCCCGCTGGGATCCCAAACCCAGACCCTGGCCATGCCCCGACAGCATCCCCGTGTTGATGCTGCCCATGGAACAACTGGGCCAAAGGGACCCAGTGAGAGGGGTCCGCAACGGCTCCTGTCGCTCGGCCACCGCACGTCAGGGGCGTGTGCCTTGCCGTGGCTTACAATGGTGCCCAGTCCACATTTTGCAAAACCCCACCAAGGCTTCCTGTCCAGCTGATCTCATGTGAGAGCCAGGGCTGGGGGGCCTCCCGGCACCCTGGCACAGGCCAGCCGGCCATGTTGCCCCTGCCTGGGGAGCAGTGCTCCGTGCCACGACTCCCAGGCTGCCGCCCCCGCCCTGTTCCTGGCACCACCATCGGTAGCTGGGGGGCCTCCCTGCGGTGGCCGGGGCGCTGATATCCGCTGGAGACACACCTCCTGCTCTGGTGCAAGAGCCTTTGTTTTGATCAATCTTGATCAGTTAGGCGACTGAGGACCTTTCCTCAGATTAGTTTTAATTTGGGTTGTATGGTTTGTTTCATGTCATCTCAATGGCCCCGAGTAGTGGTATCACTAAGTCGGGTGATCTGTAAGCAAAACAAACTGCATCAAACAGACTGTGGGTAGCAAGCAGGTTGGTGCCTGTTTGCAGAGATACCTTGGCTCCCAACACGCCACTCCAGGCCTGGAAAATGCTCCGGCGCCTTGCGAGGGCTTGTTTCCTCCACCCAGGCCAAGCAGGAGGTGCAAAGCCATGGAGAGACGGAGCCCCGTGCATTCTTGGCTCCAAGGTGAAATCTGTGCCCTCTGCGTGTCCGGACTGACCGGTCATCATTTCTGCAGGTCTCCTGCCTGGGCCTGCTCAGCTGGCCATGGGGAGGAAGGACTGGGGAGCACCCAGGACTCTGTCTTCAAGCCACCGGGAAATCTGATCCGGCATGTCCTCTGCAAGTTCCTCCCGCCCCCCCCCAAGCATCCTTTTGGGGAGGGTTGTGACAAAACAGAGTTTCCCAGGAAGCTGACATCTCCGTCTCGCTGACCTTTTTCTTCCAGGGATGCCTTAGCGTGAAGGAGGAGGATGGTAAAGACGCAGCGGCTGTCAGAGAGCAGAACCTGTCTCGCTTGGGAGCCCTCCGGCTGTGGGCCTTTCTCCCCACTTCTTTGGTTTCTCCACATCCCCCACCCACCCACCCACCCTGAGAATTGATGCATGGTCTCCAGCTGCAGGGCTTCTCCAGCTCAAGAAAATAAAAGGTCACGGAAGCATGCCCCATATTCGGGTTGCTTTGGGCTCTCCTGCCCCCTCCGTCCTCTCCTTGCCCTTTCTTCTCTCCCTTCATCTGACCAGAGGGGCGTCTTGGGTCACTTTCGACCCAGGGGATAAAAACAGCAGCGGCTTTACTGGGCAGCTGAGTCCACGGGACTCGCTTGCGAGGGAACTGGCCTGGGAGGGTGCCAGACCCCCAGACCCCTCTTCCCAGCCCTCTTTGCCTCCCTCTGGTCCAGAGGGGCCTGGGGGGGGTGTCCCTGGGAACTGGGCAGTGGAGGTGGGTGGTGGGGATCCCAGAGGGAGAACCAACACTCAGGAACAGTTTCCTAATTTTATGCCAAAGGCAGAGAACTGGTTCGGGGTGTGGATCCCAATGGGGCGAGACGGCATCTGAGGCGTGGGGAGACCCCGATCCCCCTGGCTCTGGTGTCGGATGTCCCAGCCTCTCCGATTCAGACGGGCCAGACAGCCGAGGATCCATCCCCTTCCGGGGCGCCCCACGCAGGGCAAGGGGGAGAGCAAAGCTGCACGCAGGACCCAGGCTTGGCTGCAGGAGGCCATCCCGGGCATTCCTGTTTCTCTCCCCCTCCCCATTTTGGAAAGTTTAAGGTGGGCGAAGCTTATTTGTGTCATCCGACATTAAAGGCTGAAGACAATGGCTTGGATCCCTCCACCGTTGGCTCTGATGGGGGTGGACGCCTCTCCCCGCCCCATACTCCCAGGCCAGTGGGGTGTATGGGGGATCCCTGGGAGGGGGTGCTTTGGTGGCAGCGGTGGGATCTGGGAAAGGGGAGGGGCATCCATGGGCCCTTTGTGGGTTGAAATGGGAAAGACCTGTGGACGGGATTCAGCCGCAGGCCAGCACACGCACCCACACCCCCATTTGTGGCTGAACTTCCTGCAAAAGAGTCTCTGCATCTAAGCCCAGCAGACCTCCTGGAAGGGGGAGGTTTCTAAATGGGTTCCCTGCCCTCCCCGTGCCGTTGGCCTTCCCACCCACCCAGCTCTTTGGAGGCGTCCCTGTCTCGTCAGCGTGGCCAGACCCCGTTCAGCAAAGGCTAACCCTGTCCTTCTTCCGTCAGACCTGAAGGAGACCGTTTCTCTTGAAGGCAACGTCATCCGTTCCATTCCCCTCCACCCCTACCCCTTCCTTATGGGAACACCCTCTCATTCACAAAAGCTGAGTCAGATGGATGGAGGCATGTGCGAGAGTGCTTGCCTTTCTTATTTGAGGAGCACAAGACACAGGGTTCCCCCACCGCCCCCGGCCCTGCCCCCTGCCCTGGGGCTCTCGGCTGGGGGTCCACATCCGGGGTCTTGCGCCTGTCGGCTGCTCCCAATGTTGCTCAGCCTCTCCTCTCCAGCGTCTCTGTTAACCTGGCAAGAGAAGGGCAGAACGTCACCCGACCCGCCCAGTTCTGCTGAAGCGACCCATATTTTAACTCAAGAAGCCGGTCTTTCTGCCAAGGAGTCTGGGAGGAGACAGGATTCAGCAGAAATAACAGGCCGGTTTGTGGTCCTTTTATGACGAAGAAGATGGGCAACCTCCTCCTCGGAAAGGATTTAGCCAGGCAGAGGTTTCCAGCGGTGGGCCAGATTCCTGCCTGCTCTGACTCATGGGCAGGAGTCAGGATGGGGAGAGAGCGTCATCAACAGCCCAGGCGGACGCCTGTTCACACCACGAAGGGTGTTCTCAGAAAACGGGGGGGGAGGTTGCGCCACCAAGGGAAAGCAGAACGACTCCCACACCAAGAATTCAGACAAAAATGGACTGCGGCCCCTTTGAAGACTCCCAGTGTGAAGATTTGGGGACGACGACGACCCGCTTCTTCTTGGCCTCTGGAGAAACGGGCAGGACTCCACGAAAGCTCACGCGGCTTTACTCTCACAGCGGTGTCTCAGGAAAGAGACCACAGAGTCGTAGGGTGCGCGTTTGTGTGTGTGGGGGGCATCATCGGCATCTCCTCTCACCCAGAGAGACTCAGCTTCCCTAAGAGCTGCATTGATGGTGGGGATATTCTGGGGAGCAACTCTTGGATCATCACGATCCGGTTCACAAATATCAGGATCCTTGCCCAGGACTCTCACCCTTATCATGGCAAGGGGTTAGGGCAGACCTGGGCAAAGTGCAGCCCATGGGCCACATACGGCCCCAGAGCCACTCCTGTCCTGCTGGCTGTCGCTGAGTGAGCCTAACATCACTGTTTCATTTTATTTTTAAGTAAAGTTGGTTCGGCCCCCGAACAAAGTTCAGATTTGTCATGTGGCCCCCCTATAGAAATTAATTGCCCACCCTTGGGTTAGGGGAATGGGTTCTTGGGCACCCCGGAAAATAAATGGAAGTGGACTCTCTGTGCAGGAAGCAACAGGTTCATCAGAACAGGAAGGGGGGGGGAACCAAGCCCATCAATTGCCAGGTTCCAGCCTGCGCTTGGCACTTGGCACAGGGGAACACACACAGGGCCCCCCGAAATGGCTACAGCTAGAGCAGGCTTCCCTGCCCCATGTTGGGGCTCCCTAGCAGCATCAGCATCGGCACGGGGACCCCCTGCCCCCCAGTGGGTTATTTGCAGATCCCTAAAAGGGACAGAAAGGAGAAGCCCAAAGGCTACACAAGGGACAAGTGAACTGTGTTGTACTGGTGTGGATCATGCACACAAACTATACGATACAATTTATACTATATACTTTTCCTTCCCAAGAAAGGTCCTTTGGTATCATCACGATCCGGTTCACAAATATCAGGTTAATTGCAGATCCAGAAAAGGGACAGAAAGGAGAAGCCCAAAGGCTGCACAAGGGACAAGTGAACTGTGTTGTACTGGTGTGGATCATGCACACAAACTATATACCTCTATATACTCTTCCTTCCCAAGAAAGGTCCTTTGGCCACCACCACCCCCCTCTGTGAGAGAGAGGTTCATAAATGTGACCATGCTTCTTCCCTTATTATACAATATGAACAGGCAGGTCATTTGAGCCCCCCCCCATGCCACCGCTGGGCGTCCCCAGGGAGATCTGTCTGGTTGCTGTGCAGAGCTGATGGGTGCCAGATTTTTTTTTGGGGGGGGAATACTTTGAGCTTCTAGACTACCTGGGTGGCTGTTCCTGCCCTGAGCCCTTTTTGGGGGTTCAGGGGGTGCTTTCGCCTGGATCGCCCCTTGCCTTGGGTGCTGGGGGCTGGGGGGGGGAAGAGAGAGCCTTACCGTAATGGCTGCAGGCATCCTCGCACTGCTTTCGGGTCTCAAAGTTGTTCTCGTTGCTGGTGCACCCGCCCCAGGAGAAGGGGAGGCATTTCTTCTTCTCGTAGTCGTAGTACCAGCGCCGTTCTAGAACAAAGCAGAGCCCCCCGTCCGGAGGAAGGATGCAGATCCCTGGGGGGGGGTGGAAGAGAGAAAGGGAAGAGGGGCTGGGAGGCTGGGCGGCAGAGAGGAGGCCGGAGTGGCTCCCGCCCTGTGGGCCCTCAGCGGGCAAGACGTTCAAAGGAAAGCCCCAGGATGCGCTCCGAGGAGCGTCCTTCCTTCTACCTTCGCCCAAGAGCCTCCGCTGGACTCACCCAAGTCGCCGGACACCGCAGGCAGGTTGGCCCAGAGGGCCAGCGATCCAAGGAGCAAAAGTTGCCCTGGGGACCTCATGAGGCTGGTCGGAGAGGACCCTGCACCTCTGCTGGGAATGGCCTGGGAAGGACCTGGTGTGTGTGTGTGTCGGTCAGCGCAGGCTCTGGTTGTCCGCGGTCTTCCTGGGAAAGAAAACAGATTCTCTAGAACCCGTCCAGCTGGAACTGCTTTCCAAAAACGTTGCAGGACCGCCACCCTTTGCCGTTCAAACGGAGAAACTCACACCCTCCAGCCCTGTTCACATCGCTCGGTTGCTCTGATGTTGGCAGGCCCGAGAAAGGTGCTCGGATGGGTCACCTATTAAGGGCGTGGCACGAGAACCACCCCGGCAGGTGGGCTGGAGAGCCACCCACCAGCCCTCAGATGTGGCGCCAGGGAGTCCTGGCGGTTCCTGTGAAGCCGCCTCATGGTCCCGGTGGAAGGAACAGCCGGTTCCCCCAGGAAAGGCCTCCCTCCCTCCGCCGGGCATGGCCCCAGGCAAGGCTGGGCAGGGCAAGGCTGGGCAGCTCAGCTCTAACAAGCATCTCCTTGGGACTCCGAGTCCCATGCCGGCTAGGAGATGCTGGGCATTATAATCTGAGCGAAAGCAGCCTTTCCCAGCTGTGCTGCACCTCAGCCCCCATGTGGGGGGGGCCAAAGGAGGCCCCTCCATGCCTCAAGGGCGCTCCTCCTTTGCCCCCTCTGCAACAGTCAGGAGTTCCTCATCAGGAGCAGCTGCACGTTGGATAGTTCAAGGGGTTCCGTGCCGAATTTGGGGCTTGTCTAACATTCTCATCCGAAATGCCCACCAGCTGTATTCCCGTGACTCTGACCCCCCAAATCCTTCATTTTTTAAAAAAACCCACTGGAAAAGCCCACTTATATTTCTCGTAGCCAAATGCCTCCTTGAGGGCAGAAAGGGATCTTTGGATCCCCAACATTCATTGTTGGAATATTGTATTTTTCAAATCATATCTTCATTTTTCCAGGGGGCATCTTGCAAGGGTCTGGGTTACGCGGACCTCCCTTCCCCAACCACACGATGCTGTGACTGCTGAGGGAGGGGTCCCTGGCAGATGCTGAGGGAGCCGCGTCTCCCTGAAGCGATGGAGAAAACCCAGAAGCCACCCTGTGGCTCCTGAGCCCTTAACCGGAGGGAGGTCAAGCCCTGAAGGACCCTGTTCTCCCTCCCTCCCTCCCTTGCCCCCCCCGCCCCGGGAACAGGGTGCCGCCACCTACATACTTGCCCGCTCACCCGCTTTATGGGCCAGGACGAGCTTGGCTCCATCGGAGAGGCTTCCCGTCTCCTCCCCGCCTCCAGCTGGCACCTCTCGGCTCTCGCTCAGGGATCCCTGGGTGCTGGCGCTGGGCTGCCTTGAACTCTAGCTGGAGGCTCCAGCTGTGGAAGGCTCCTCCATGAAGGAGAAAGGGAGGGAGAGGCCGTGCCGGACGTGACCGTTGGCCCCGGCCTGCTAGTTTTCTAGGTGCAGAGGCCAAGTTGCTTGGCCCACGGGAAGAGTCCCTTTCTTCAGTGGCCAACTGCCGGAGGTTGGGCCACGTCTGCGGGACTGTGAACGTGGGCCCTTGGATTCATGTGGTCGCCGCCAGGGCCGCAGTGGTGTGTTTACAGGCAGAGGGGCTTTTCCTGCGGCTCTGGCCAAGGCCGCTCCTCCCTCTCACAAGAAGGGTCTGATCCAGGAGCCCAATCCTAACCCCACCCTCCACAGCTGGCCTGCGCCCGTGCTGATGAGGCACCTGGTCGGGAACCACAGCTGCCCCCTGCCTTCCTCTTCGATCCACACGGCGCAACCCATTCATGCCCCATGTTGTGACTCTTGAATCCAGATCTTGGGCATCATTAGCTGGAAATTAATTCATTTGTTCCAATCGACTGTTGTTGTTTTTAAAAAAAGATGGTTTTAAGCATAGCTTTGGATTGCATCACACTAAGGCATATTAGTTGTCTAGTGGTTAACATTTTACATTTACTGCAATTTATTTGGAGTTTTTTTTTCCTTTTTAATCAGTTCTTGGTAATTTAGAATAAAAACAAATGAAGGAAACACATTACAAATAATTAACCCAATAAATTAATGTAGTTGTTTTCACTAATGCAATTAACCAGAATGATTCACGTTAGCAAATTATTTTTAGCGTGTTAACGTCAGGATATAATAAAAAATATATAATTTGCTAATTTATTAGGTCAACCAGTCCAAAGAAACGCAAGCCTGCGCTGCCCTCTGCTGTCCTCCAGTGGAAGCGCATGTCTGCTCTTGAAAACCCTCTCTCTGTGTGCGTCTCTGTGTCTCTTGGTGAATTTCCATGGGCAAGCGAGGATTTGAATGCAGGTTTTCATTTCTACCCTGCCCCGTTAGTGTCGGCCACTCTCTGAACAGTCCTAGCCCCTCACCCACTGCACCATGCCAGGCACCGTTGGCACCATTAGTTAAGCTTTCTGCCTGGTTACCACATGGATTTGGCTGTGGCTGATACAGCCCCTCTAGATATAAAGTCTGGAGCTGCTGTAACAGGGAGGACGCATGATCCCTGTGACCCGCCCCACTTAAGCATCTGGCTGCTGCTGTGTTTTGGACCTGTTGGACGTTTCCTGACACTTTCCATTGGCAGCCCCACAGAGAGTGCATTACAGTAATCCAGCCGGGATGCAATTAAGGCCTGTGTCCCTGTGGCCAGGTCAGACCTTTCCAGGAGCAGGTGCAGCTGGCACACTAGTTTTAACTGTGCAAAGGCCCTCCTGGTGGTTGCTGAAACCCAGGCATCTGGGCCCAGAGATGAACCCAGGAGCACATCTGAGCTGTCTGCCTGTCTTTTCAGAGGGGGTGTCACCCCATCCAGCACCAGCTGCATCCTTATTCCTTGCTCTGCATTTTGGCTGACCAGGAGCACCTCTGTCTTGTCTGGATTAGGTTTCATGACCTCTGGGGTCATGACTTCTCCTTCCATAACCTTCCTGACAGCAGGAGTGCCAGCTACAGAGTCAGAGGAGGCTCTTTGGTAGTCTGGATGGTCTTGTGGTCCTGTGTTCTTGGCCTGCTTTAGAGCTGGCCTGTTTTGTGGTCTCCTTTCACACTGTGAGGGGGGCTTTGGTGAAAACTTCAAGTCTGCACTTTTGTGATGAAGTGGTCCAACTGCAGTACTGCAGCCAAAACTCTGCTCATCATGACCTAGGTTTAATTCCAGGGAGCTGGCTCAAGGTTCACTCAGCCTTCCACCCTTCCGAGGTTGGTACATTGAATGCCCAGCTTGCTCATCTCTCTCTCTCTGTGGAATGTGTAGCTTGCATAACTAAACTGTAAATTATCCAGAGAATGCTTTAAGTGCTATAGGCAGTGTGTAAGTGGCACACTTTGCTTTTTTTGCCTCTTGTCTGATCTGTTGAATCTTGCAGAGCCGCAACCCTCCCCCCACCCCCACCCCTTAAGTCTGGGGCACAGGCAGCGTGCTCTGAATTCCTTCAGAGTCCTTGGATGACAAATGGCATTAAGTCAGCCTCTTCCGCAGGGGATCGAGATACTAAATCACTGGTGACGTTTCTTTAGTCCCGTTCTGCAGGGCTAAGTGCTCTCAGTTGGCCCTCTCTATTTAAAAAGAAAAAGAAAAGTGCATTGATTTTGAAAAGGCTAGCTGGAAATATCTTGGCAGCTTTTTCCAGCCACCATCAGGGAAGGTGCCTCAGGGCTCTGGGGGGCATCGGTCTCTCTCCTCCTGCAACAGTTACGCCATGGGACTGCGTGGGGCTGCTCTCAGACAGGGGCCACTCACGGCGAGTCGCCTGCCTTCTGGGAGTGCCCTCTTGCCAGTTTGAGATCTGGCCCAGTCGGTGGTGCAATTTGTGGCTTGGCTCCCCCTCCCCCCCATTTCAGGGAAGACCCTTCCTGCTTTTGTCTTCTGTCTGCCCGTCCTCTTGGTGCCTCCTACATAGGGATCACCGTCCTGGCTCCCATGGGCAGGAATGGCTTAAAGGGACAAGGAGAGGGCTGTGGCCCCTGAAAGGCTAAGAAGAGGTGGGCTAGAGAACAAAGCAGGATGCCCTGTGGCCCACGTCAGATGGACGGGACCCTCCTAAAGCGTGGAAACCTAGCCACTCTTCATTCTCTCCGTTTTGGAGTCAGCTCCTGGCACTCTGAACCTGCTGGTCTCGAAAGGGCCCCGAGAGGGCTGCAGCCCACTGACGGACCGACTTGGCTACCTATCCGGTCTGCTGGACTGAGGCAGGTTTTGCTTTTCCTCTCGGCAGCTCGGTCTTGCCAAGGGCAAGAAGTCCTGCGGCAGGGGGTTTGCTGCTGCCGGCCTTTCTCTGAGCACTCCATTCAGGAGCATGAGGTTCTCCTGGTGCGTTCTGCTGGAGGCGCCCAAGGCGGGCAGGCCACAGCTCAGACACCGTCGCAGTCTAAACTGGGTTTCCCAAAAGATGAAAGACCGGCCCTCGGTTTATCCAATCAGGCGATGGCTGAGGTGGAATGAAGTCCAACCGTGGTTTGGGACGCTCCGTCAGCACGTGCATCTTGCTGCACTGCATGCCAGGGCCGCTCCTCCCTCCCTCCCTCCTCCCTCCTCCCTTCACCGAGACAGAGCCGACACCTACCTTTCCACCAATTCAGGTGAGAACAATCCTGCTGGAATGGGCGCCACTCCCTCCCTCCCTCCCACACCTGTGTTTATCCCCATCCCTCTCGCCTGCTCGGCAACCTAGGCAAGCAATTCCAGGAGGTGAACCCTCACCTTGATGCGTGACGTCACCTGGGGCTGGGCAGGTGCCCCACACAGCCTTGGCTGGGGGCCTCTCAGACTATGGTCCGGCTTGGGATGCCTCATTAGGGAGGGCAGGGCTGAGGAGGCCCTCCAGCGTTCTTAGGGCGAGACGTGGCAGGTACCCGTAGCGCCTCGGCTGGCCAGTTTCACAGCATCTCCTTCCGTGAGAGGCCAAGGCCAAAGCCGGAGACTGAAAGGTAGGCATCACTTAACAATGTCCTTTGAACATACGTCATCCCGGAGGTGGTGCAGGAAGGGCTCTGGGAGCAGAACTGCTTCTGGGCCGGCCAGTTATGGAAATGGAGCCCAGGTTAGCCAGCCCAGGTAAAGTCTGTCTGAGGAGAGAA